ATATCCAGAATTTACAAAGAACTAAAACAGATTTACAAGAAAAAAACTAACAAGCCCATTCAAAAGTGGGCAAAGGATATGAACAGACACTGTACAAAAGAAGACATACATGAGGCCAACAAACATATGAAAAAATGCTCATCATCACTGGTCATCAGAGAAATGCAAATCAAAACAACATTGAGATACCATCTCATGCCAGTTAGAATGGCGATCATTAAAATGTCTGGAGACAACAGATGCTGGAGAGGATGTGGAAAAATAGGAACACTTTTGCTCTGTTGGTGGGAGTGTAAATTAGTTCAACCATTGTGGAAGACAGTGTGGCGATTCCTCAATGACCTAGAAATAGAAATTCCATTTGACCCGGCAATCCCATTACTGGGTATATATCCAAAGGATTACAAATCATTCTACTATAAAGACACGTGCACACGAATGTTCATTGCAGCACTATTTACAATAGCAAAGACCTGGAACCAACCCAAATGCCCATCGACGATAGACTGGATAGGGAAAATGTGGCACATATACACCATGGAATATTATGCAGCCATCAAAAACAATGAGTTTGGGTCCTTTGTAGAGACATGGATGAACCTGGAAGCCATCATTCTCAGCAAACTGACAGAAGAGCAGAAGATCAAACACTGCATGTTCTCACTCATAGGCGGGTGTTGAACGATGAGAACACATGGACACAGGGAGGGGAGCACTACACACTGGGGTCAGTTGGGGGGAAATAGGGGAGGGATGGTGGGGGGTGGGGAGCTGGGGAGAGATAGCAAGGGGAAAAATGCCAGATGTAGGTGATGGGGAGGAAGGCAGTAAATCACACTGCCACGTGTGTACCTATGCAACAATTTTGCATGTTCTTCACATGTACCCCAAAACCTAAAATGCAATAAAATAAATAAATGGGGAAAAAAAAAAGAAAAAAATCTGATTTAAAAATGGACAAAAGATCTGAAAAAAACATTTCTCAAAAGAAGACATACAGGCCGGGCGCGGTGGCTCAAGCCTGTAATCCCAGCACTTTGGGAGGCCGAGGCGGGTGGATCACGAGGTCAAGAGATCGAGACCATCCTGGTCAACATGGTGAAACCCTGTCTCTACTAAAAATACAAAAAATTAACTGGGCATGGTGGCGCATGCCTGCAATCCCAGCTACTCAGGAGGCTGAGGCAGGAGAATTGCCTGAACCCAGGAGGTGGAGGTTGCGGTGAGCCGAGATCGCGCCATTGCACTCCAGCCTGGGTAACATGAGTGAAACTCCGTCTCAAAAAAAAAAAAAAAAAAAAAAAGACATACAAATGACAGACAGGCATATGAAAAGGTGCTCAACATCACTGACCAACAGATGAATGCAAATCAAAACTACAATGAGATACCATCTCTCCCCAATTAAAATGTCTTGTATCCAAAAGACAGACAATAACAAATGCTGGCAAGGATGTGGAGAAAACGGGATCCTCACCCACTATTGGTGAGAATGCAGATTAGTACAACCACTAGGGAGAACAATTTAGGGGCTTCTCAAGAAACTAAAAGTAGACCTACTACATGACCCAGCAATCCCACTGCTAGGTATATACCTAGAAGAAAATAAACTAGTATATAGAAGATATATCTGCACTACGTTTGTGGCAACACTATTCACAATAGCCAAGATTTGGAACCTAAGTGTCCATCAACAGATGAATGGATAAAGAAAATGTGGTACATATATGCAATGGAGTATTATTCAGCCTTAAAAAGGAATGAGATCCTGTCATTTGCAACAACATGGATAAAAGAAGAGGTCATTATGTTAACTGAAATAAGCCAGGCACAGAAATACAAACTTCTTATGTTCTCACTTATTTGTGGAAGCTGAAGATTAAAACAATTGAAGTCATGGAGTTAGAAAGCAGAGCAATGGTTGCCAGTGTCTTTGAAGAGTAGTAGTGGGAAGAACCAGGGATGGTTAATTGGTACAGAAATATAGTTAGATACAATGAATAAGATCTAGTATTTGATAGCACAACAGAGTGACTATAATCAGCAATAATTTTTTGTACATTTAAAAATAACTAAAGGAGTATAACTGGATTGGTTGTAACACAAAGAAAGGATAAATGCTTGGGGTGATGTGATTTACCTGATGTGATTATTATGCATTGTATGCCTGTATCAAAATATCTCAGGCACCCCATACATATATATACCTACTATGTACCCACAAAAATAAAAGAATAGAAATAGAAGATAACTTCATTATTTTTAAAATGAATGCGATATCTAACAGATGAGTGCCAAATTCTTCAATGCAATTAAGTTCACAAATTCACTCACCTAAGCAGCCTGACTGGCAACTAAACAGAAAACAAACAAACAAGAAACCATAAATAGAAGAAGTTCAAAAGGTAGGTAACATGTTCATCCATGTTAAATACCCACTGTAATTAATTTTAATATTAACCTTCCACATATTCATCAGGCATCAGGCAGGTTTGATTGTCTGAATTTTCCTCTGGAAATTGACTGCAGTCTGTGTCTTCAGGCCACTGTAGGCCCACAATCCCAAGAACAGACTCACAGCGTCCTTTGGAATGCTCACACAATGCTCTACATGAACAAGAAAGACAAAACATTAGAAGCAGAAATAGCTCCATCTGAGACAGATGTTATAAACTTCTATCAAGTTTTAATTCTGTGTGTGTGGGTCTGTGTATGTGGCATGTATTGTGGGTGTGGATATAAAAGATGCACATATAAATGAAAGGTATTTGGGAAACCAAAACAAGTAATCTCTCTGCAAAGACTATACATTCCAACACCATACTTTCACCAAAAGAAATTTTATTGCAGAAATAGGTCTAAAGATGTTTCCAGGACACAGATTCCCTTCTCCACACTGCCTTCTCCACACTGCCTTTTGCATTCTCTCTTCTTTGAAGTAGACACATTCTCCAACTTTTTGTTCCAAACAGGGAAGTCCCAACATCACTTCGGATAGTTTGCCGCCAAAGTTGTTGAATCTATACAACACCTTCATCCTCAAAGATCTCTCCCTCTGCAGACCAGCCCTGCGAGCCATCTCATGTGCCACCCTAGCTTACCTAGGGCATGGCCTCCCTTACTTCAGCTTCCATCAATATTGTTGAAAAGCTTAGGACTCCTCCCGAATTCACTGATGTTGAGGTCAAGTCAGTTAAAATGTTTGTTTGTTGTTTTAAAGAAATGATATACTAACTCTTGAACCAGGTGCTTTCATGTGTGTTATGTCTTTTGTCCCCAATATATTTTTAGGTTAAAGTATCAGAGTGCCTCACAGAAGATTTCTCTACTTCTTTTTTTACTTCTTATGGAAAAAACATGATTTTTGTCACCATATATTACTAAGGAATTACTTACATTAGTTGAAAAAAAAAAAAAAAAAACCTAACCAAAGCAAGTTCCTAGGCCAATAAACTCTTAATGGACTCAAATATTCTAAATACGCTCAAATACTCTTACTTCTCAAAAGTTTCACTTTTTTTACACTAATCTCAACCAAGTTCTCATTTTTAAAATAAATTGGGGGACAGATCTTCCAGAAAGGACAGCTCCAGTCTTGCCCAAAACTGGTAGAGAAAGTGTAACAATCAAATGAGGAAGTTTCAGAGAAAGCTCTAAGTTTAAGTCTGGACAAAGCACAGCATAACTCAACACTAGTTTAGTCCAGGAATTTAGCGTGATGATAAAGCCGTGGTATTCCTATATTAGGTCTGGAAAAATGGAAAGTTCAATAGTGTTTGATAACTGTCTGCTGAGCTAACTAGTTTTGTTGCAGATTTATAAAAAAATATGTGTAATTCAATTGCAACTGCTATTTTAATTTACTAATATGATATTTATACAGAAGACTGTATAGTGCCTGATTCTACCACTTCCTATTTTTTCTGTAAATGGAAATCATAACAATATACAGCAACACAACCCCTGAGGGTGCTGTTCTTATCATAATCCTTGTGATCAGCCATAGACAGCAATTCCGATGATACGCACCTCACTTAAAAGGTTGACTGCACTACAGCGTTTAACAATCATCAAGTATTTAGTCCCTTGTAAGGACTCGATAATGTCAGATTTTTCAGTCTCATAACTAAAAAATTCATTGTTAAAATTAATCAATAGACCTGGCAAAAGCAGGAAAAACAACTATGTATCACTTTATGAACTTATTATATGGTATTCAAAAATTTCTTATAAACAAACATCAAAATATAAAATTCGTAGTGATAGACACTGAAAATGAAAGATGTATGGGTAAACCTGAAAAGGAGAACTAAAGTTATCTCAAAGAAATTTGCCAAAATTTTGATTGAACAACACTTCAGGATCATGCTCGTCTTAAGCATTTTAATATGGAACTTAAACCCTGAAATTACAAATTATATCTGGATGGAAATTCACATTTACATTTGCAGCAGAAGATGCTGCATTAGAGAAATTTTTATCTACATATGAAAAGAAAGTCAAATACTAGAAATTGTTAAGTACTATTAAAAGAAATTATTCACTATCACTGACCTTGTTTAGCAAAAGTGAAATAAGATTTAAAAACAGCTTTTTAACATAAAATTGGTAGATTTTTTAAAGAGATACTTTTAAATGTACTTAACAGAAATTTTCAGAATTATTTCTACACAAGTTAACATTAAGTTTTATTCACTCTATTGGTATAATTTGTTCAGTTCCCCAAGTCATTATGAAATTTTATTATTTCCTGTTCTGTCTCTATAGATGCCCTTACTTTGTCATCCGTTTGGTATTCAGCATATAATTTATTGTTTTCTCTTCTGTCTAGTATATTAATAGTATTGCTTTAAAAAAAAAAAAAAAAACCTCTGTGTGACTTCTGATCCCAACATATGGTTTCTGTAGTTGTCACTCATATTTAGGCCAGCACATCTGTATACTCACCCCTTAAGGGAAAACAGCACTGAAGAGAGTAGCAACTCACTCACTTCTGTGAGAGTCATCTTGTATATGCAAATCCTCTGACTACAATGCCTAACACGTGGCACAGCAAAGGAACAAACTGCCATGAAGTTGTTGTGCTCCTGTGCTATCACCATAGCTGTTGTTTATTCAGGAGTTACAATGAATCAGAAGCACTTTACATTCATGCACATTCATTTGATCTCAAATCAATACAACCCAAGAACCATTCCTTATTCTACATGTGAAGGAACTGAGGCTGAGAGAGACTCGGGAATTTGTCTAAGGGCTATCCAGAAACTAGAGAAGGGCCAAGATTTTAATCCAAACATGAACTCCAGAACAATACCCTTGACACTGGAATATTACTCATATTAAAAGTCCAAGCTATACTCTTGAAATAGCATGTCTTATTTCATTCAAACAGGCAGAGAAGTATGAGCGATGTCAATCCCTGTCCAGCCTGTGAGGCTGGCGTTCTGTCTCCTGTGTTATGACACAAGTGCTGTCAGAGTGCAGCATTTTAAACACATCAATGTTTCCAGAAAAAGAGGCAGATATACCCTTTTTCTACTAATATACTTTTTTAAAAAAATGTTTTTTAATACAACAGAATGAAATACATGTGAATTTATTTGATTAAAACATAAACTATCATCAAAGAAAGGTCACAACTCCCTTGTTTGGTACTTTGTTAATGAACTCTGACTCAAATACTCATTTTGCAACTTCTTCTTTGTCTTACTTGTTAAATATGAGGGTATGCCATTTGCTAAATGCAGAGCTCCTTAGGGAAATTTACTCTGTCCAAACTCAGCTAAGCCTTCACCCGTTGGTTCTCTCTGAGGCAAAAGACGGGTACTGAGGGAGATCCCATCACATTACCTGCAAGGTGGGATACGCTCGCCTGTATTCACATCACACTTTGGTACCAAAATGGTGCAAGCAAAGAACATGAGGTATTTATAACAGTTGGTTTGAACAAGTGCAGGGAAAAGAGAAGACTCCCAGCTGATGGATGCTTCCTTTTGAGTCCCATGGCCAAGGTAATTTGGATAACTTGTGTGGTTGTAGGGCAAATTCATGCAGAGTTCCAAGGTAATTGGTTCACATTGACCTAATGAAGAAAGATACATACAAATATTTTTCTATTTCACTTATAAAAACAACTTCTTTAAGTTTTACAAACTTGAAGTCTATTTTATTCTTTCTTTAGGATAGCTAAGACTAGAATGCCAGTAGTATATAACATTCTTTATGGATATCGGAAATAAATAAGCTAGTTAGTGAAATGCCCTGGCAATGAAGATTTATTTATGTCTACGTAGTTGCTAGCATCATGCTTTAGAAAGTCCTTCCTCATTTTTTCCTTTGGCTCAACTTATCTGAAGATGATTCTCTCATCATTCCTTTTATTGACTCCAATTCATCTTCTTCTTCTGATTTACTCATTACTACTAAAATAGGATAGCCCCACCATCTTCACTGCCACTAAAAAAGTTAATTAATTTTATTAAATAGGCAATTAGATAACTTCTATCAAAATATGTTTTATTGTTGATCAATGTATTTAAATATAAAGCTCCAAGATTTCAGGGCAAGAAGAGGCTCAGATCTGTTGGATACTTCTTGCTAATGAGACAAAGTCCAAACCCCTTAGCTTGAAATCTGAGGCTCTTTTAAACTTCAACCCTAGCCTAACTTTCCAGCTTCATTGTCTGTGATTATCCAATCAGTTACTCTGCTGTAATGAATTCTATTCCCTTGTGACACCAGATATTTTAAGAATTGCATGTCCTTATGCACACTGTTGACTCCTCTCTTACCTCCTTTTTAATGGCAAGCTCATAATTATCTCCCCAGATGTTGTCATGGTCTAGCTGCCAGGTGCATACAGCACCAGCTGCCTGGTGTGCCTTTCCCATCTTCCCCACCAAGCTAACTCCTCTGTGTTTTGGAAGACTCAGTACAAATACCTCTTCCAGGAAACCTTCCTGGCCAACCACTCTTGCCATTACTACACCCAGAATGAGTCTCTTGTGAGTGCCATAGCATCTTAGGCACATACCCGCCACATGCTCATTGTATTTTGCCATAGTCTTTATTTACTTGCCTCTCACACAGAATCCCGAGATTTTTGTGAAATGAGACTTTATCTCTTGATCTCAAGTCTGTACCTAGCATAGTACCAGAATGGAGAAAGGAAAATGTATCAGGGACTATTCTAGGCACTGTAAATGTAAGAATAATGAAAAATGTAGTTTCTGCCATTGAGGAACTCCACAATCTTGGTAGAAAAAAGGATGCACGTGATGGTAGCTGTAGGAGAATGTGAACAGACTAGGATCGTTTGCTTAAACTGAACGTTTGTGTATCCCCGTCATATGCTGTAACTAACCCGCAATGTGATGGTATTTGAAGGTGGGGCCTTTGGGAGGTGATGAGGTTTAGAAGAGGTCTAGATGAGGGTGGAGTTTATATGGGATTAAGTCCTTATAAAAAGGGGAAGAGACTAAAGCTTTCGCTCTCTCACTCATGTGAAGCAACAGCAAGAGGGCAACTGTCTGCAAACCAGGAAGCAGCTTGTTAGCAGAGACGAGTCTGCCAGCACCCTGATCCTGCACTTCCAGCCTTCAGAACAGTGAGAAATAAATGTCTGTGGTTTAAGCCAACCAGCCCATGGTATTTTATTGTAGCAGCCTGAATATACTAAGACAGCCATATTGAACAAAATGCTAGAAGCCCAAAGGGAAGAAGTAGAGCAACAGTGACCTGGGAATTCTTCTCATACGGTTTGGCTGTGTCCCACCCAAATCTCATCTTGAATTGTAGCTCCCATATTCCCCACGTGTAGGAACCCAGTGGGAGATCACTGAATCATGGGAGCAGTTTCCCCCATACTCTTCTCATGGTAGTAAGCCTCTCACGAAATCTTGATGGTTTTATAAGGGGTTTCCCCTTTCACTTGGCTCTCTCATTCTTCTCTTGTCCGCCGCCACAGGAGCAGTGCCTTTCACCTTGTGATTGTAAGGCCTCCCCAGCCATGTGGAACTGTAAGTCCATTTTACCTCTTTCTTTTGTAAATTGCCCACTCTCAGCATCGTGAAAACAGACTAACACTCCCTCCAGGGATAAATGGGGTTTGGGCAGCTTTGGGGGAATACAGCGGACAGGCTTCCATCTCTCTCTCTCTCTCTCTCTCTCTCTCTCTCTCTCTCTCTCTCTGTCTCTGTTTGAAGTAGATGTGCCACATTCCCTGAGGGAAGATGCAAGCAAGCAAGCGTCCTGGTAAAATTCACCCAGGCAGACCAAAGACCCCATGCCTTATTGAGAGTAATTATTCAAATTAAATTTAATTATTTGACTAAGAAGTGGTATCCATGCAAATAGATTCACGATAAGGATTGGGCTGAAATATTAAAACATCTCCAGGACTACTTCTTAATTTAAAGAATCCGAGGGTTTCACAGGCATTATATTTATAAGGAGGCTGACGCTGGCCTGATAAAAAAAAAATGACGGACAAAGTGTAATATGACTCTCAGTTTCCTGAATAAGACACAACACTGCAAGGTTAGCATAATCTTGAGGGTGAGCCAGAGTGGAGAGAAGAGTAGATGGGAGAGGTTTGGGGTTGGTCGGTTCAGTTTATCCTTTCCTGTAATTTGTGAAGCAGGGGTTGGACATTATGTACTAAATGTTTGTGTTCCCCCAAAATTCATATGTTGAAATCCTAACCCCAAATGTGGTAATATTAGGAGGTGGAGCCTTTGGGAGGTGATTGAGTTATCAGGGTGCAGCCTCCAAGAATGGGATTAGCGCCCTTATAAAAGGGACCACAGAGAGCTCTCGCACCCTTCTCACAGTGTGAGAATACAATGAAAAGTCAGTTCTCTGCAGCCCAGAAGAGGGTCCTCACCAGAACCTGGCCATGCTGGCAACCTCATCTCAGACTTCCAGACTCCAGAACTGTCAGAAATAAATGTCTGTTGTTTTTAAGCAATAGTGATTTGTTATAGCAGTCTGAACGAATACAAGAAGTAACATTTAAATATTTTGTTGTAAGATTACAAAATGCATGTTTTTCATAACAATAAAAACAATACAAAGATGCAGAAAGAAAACATTCAACATCTCTCCACTCCCCTTTCTGTTACCTTCCCTGCAAGCCAGCAGAAGGCTCTGAATGCTTCCATGTCTTTCCCTTGCTCACATTTATCCATAATTGCCTTTGTACACTTAGACAGAGATTTGTGTTTGCTTTTGCCAAAGCAGAAGCATCCCATTCCTACCACTCTTCAATTTGCTTTTGTTGCTGGTTTGTCATGACCATCTTACTAGTCAGCACATGTAGCTCTAACTCTATGCTTTTCTTCCTGGTCTCTTTAAGATACTTATAATTTTACACAATTGGTACATTTATGGATATTTTTGATGCAGTCTTTTCTTTCCTTGTACATACCCTTCTTTTCTCTCTTTCTCTACCACCCCATCAAGGTTTAACTTTTTATTGATGTATTTCATTGAATATAATTAATACAATATGTCACATGAATAACTTTTCTCTTTTTGATATGTGGAGAATGTATCACTTTTGATTTGGGATAAGATATAACTTTTAAGTGTTTAGGAGCCAAGGAAGAGAAGAGGATTAAGTAATGATCATATATTATTCTGGAGATCTTTATTGAATGCGGTAAGTTTTATTGGATCTTGTGTTTTATTCCTTCATAAGGCATTCTTCACAGGATGCTAAGCAAGATGAACTCTCAGTATACCTCTCAACCCCAAATTCCATGATTTATGATGTCAACAAGCTTTTTCATCGTATCAGGCTCACGTGTGAGACTGATTTACAATTGCCACTAGAGGGAGATCGCATCACAAACATGAGGATATTTTACGGCCGGATCTGTGTTTCTGATGTAAGTTTGATGCCGTACCAGTACAGTGTCCTGAACACAGATGAGGTTTAATAAACATCTGTCAAAAAAAATCTTGGTGGAATCTCAATGGTATTCCACCTTTCAAAGTCTGAAACAAGATTTTTTCAATTCAACCTAAAGATGGGATTATTAACTCAATGATGTTTCATCCTTATGATGTAATGTTCTAAAGTTACTAGAAATCATGTATTTCTAGACATGGATGAGTCCCTCTACACCAGAATGAGGGGAACAGCATTCCTGCCTCTACCCTCAAAGGCAATGATACGTCTGTAATTTGCCTCCCAACATGGTACAGAAATGTTAAAGATGTTGGTCATTTACATGGAAAAATGTCTTTTCTACATCTAGCTGCACCCATAATTCAAAAATTCAACTTTGCCTCAAACTCTAAGTCTCTCTTTAACATTATTATTTTTAATAGTTTGATGTTATTTTAAGGTAGACATCCTTATAACTACTGCCCAGGTCAAGAAACTGAACTCGCACAGACACCCCAGAAACCTTCCATATATCTTGTCTCATCTCAACTTTCTCATTCCCTGCTGCCCCCCCACCCAAGTAACTAGTGAGTTTTATCACCATCACTTCCTTGCTTTTCTTTATAGTTTTATTACCTAAGTGTGTACCATCCCTGGGTATTGTAATTTAGGCTTGCCCATTTTTTGAAACTTGTCTTTTAAGTCTCTCATAGCCTTTGGGTTCCTCCCTCATTCCTTTTTCTTTATCAAGTAAGCATTGAAGAACCCAGAGATTTGACGTGTAGAGCATACCAGCTTTTGCAATCTCGCTTATTGCACACTCCTGGTGAGGCTAAACGTGTTCCCCACCTTCTCTATTTCCAAACCTTGGCAGCTGAATCAACAAGACTGGACTGGGCTTCATTCCATTGGCAAGACTAGAGGTGGCTGAGCTGTTTTTCCACCAGAAGCCACATTATTCTGATTTCCCTCTTTTTGTGATGTTAGCAGCTGGAGAGGCTCTATGTCTTGACTCATTAATTCAGTGTGTTACCAAATGGTAATAATCTATTCAATCATTTTTTTGCACTTATTAGAAAATGCACATGGAGATGCTTTTGTAAATACATCATTCCTCTTGTCTACTATTAGCTTGTAAGGCAGAAGTCTGTAATCATTACGGTGATTGGATTCTCTGCCACATGACTATGCTGTACCATTTACTCCTACCAACTGAAGCTTGCAAAGAGAGAGCAGGAAATTGCTAGACTCTTAGGGAATTATTCAAAAAGCAAACCTGTTTATTTCTTCCTTGGTGTTGAATAAGGGGAAAATGCATGAGTAAGTATAGAACTGAAGGCTGATGAACACTGTGGGAGGCTTAAGGAAGGGCCTGGGGCATGACAGCCATGCCTGGATTTCACAGCCATGGTCAGCATGGGCACAGGAAGGCAGGAGAGACATGCCCAGGAGTCACCCTTGCAGGTTCTCCCCGCTGTCTGGATTGCATACCACAAGGGGGAAGTGATGAATGAGTCCCTCTACACCAGAATGAGGGGAATAGCATTCCTGCTCCTAGCCTCAAAGGCAAGGATACATCTGTAATTTGCCTCCCAACATGGTACAGAAATGTTAAAGCTGCTGGGTTGTGACTGGACCTGGCAACACAGGCTCTAAAAGCTATTTCTTGAAAAAATGATGCACCATCAGAAAAGTGATTTTTAGGCTTTTTTTAAAAAAAAAAGTTGCACGTACTTCTGTGAATTTAAAATAAGCCTTCTCCACTGAAAAATGCACATTGGAATACACAAACCATTTTGTATTCTATTTCAAAGTTCTCACATATCCCTGCAGCCTAGTCATAAATAGGCACTAGAGCAACACATTCGCAACCTTGGCTATACATTGAAGTCATCTGTAGAATCTAAAAATACTGATGACTGGGTCCCACCCAGTATATCATCAGGGACCATTAGAAAATCACATAGGTCGGGCGCGGTGGCTCACGCCTATAATCCCAGCACTTTGGGAGGCCGAGGCGGGTGGATCACGAGGTCAAGAGATCGAGACCATCCTGGTCAACATAGTGAAACCCCGTCTCTACTAAAAGTACAAAAAAAAAAAATGAGTTGGGCATGGTGGCGCACACCTGTAGTCCCAGCTACTCAGGAGGCTGAGGCAGGAGAATGGTTTGAACCCAGGAGACGGAGGTTGCGGTGAGCGGAGATTGTGCCATTGCACTACAACCTGGGTAAGAAGAGCGAAACTCCGTCTCAAAAAAAAAAAAAAGTCACATAATATTTTATGGGATGGCAAGAATCAGAGTTTTCAAGGACGAGAATCTCAGTAACTCCAGTGAGAGGCTGTCTCCACCAGATAGAATATCTACTACATTCTCCAAACTCACGTTTTCCCTTGGCATCAAGCAGACTAAGAAAGCACTGTTGAGTCGTGCCTCAGAAGCTGAGTGATACTAGCCCCTGAGAGTGGAAAACATCTTCAAATAATTAGCCATATTATCAAGTATGTGAAGAATTTTTGAGATGCCACTTGTCTTTACAGAGAACGAAGTACACATATATCATCTTGAAGTTCTTTCAAAAATCAGGAATAACATCTTGACTTTCAACTGGAAGTTAGGCACACAGGCCATTTTTAATGACACAGGAGTAATGAGGGCAAGTGGCTAGCCTAGTGCCTTTCACTCAGAAGAGAGCTTGTGCAAACATTTGCTGAATATATGTGGAGAGAAGTTGGCAAGAATATACATGGTGAATGAAAAAGCTGGTGAGACAGCGAGACACTAGGGAAACTGAGTGTATTAAAAAAACTTAAAGAGAACCACAATGTAGAATATATGAGTGGGAAGATGACCACATGTTCTCCCACACTGAAAAGTGACTTCCAGGAAGCTAGAAGCCTGTCTCCTTTCTTCTCCATGAGAAAGCCCAGCGCCCATCCTGATGCCTGGAACGTCGTGGACACACTACAAATATTGGTCAGCTCTATGAGCCAAAAGTTATCCAGTGGCCTTTTCTGCATCTTATTCTTTTGACAGGAGACAACATATTTTTAAATATTTAGAACTTGAAATATTTCAAATATACAGAAAATAGGATAACATACACCCACTTACTCTTTACCCAAATTTGACCAGGCTAACATTGCCTTTTCTACATTTTTGAGTCTAATAGTAAGTGCCATTTCATGTCAAACAACCCCCAAAACATTAATAATAAACACGTCTTTGTGCTGACACTGTCATTATTCAAATTGAAGGTGAAGTAAAGAAATCGCTCTGAAAAATTTCCATGGCAGATGGGGAGATGAGCAAAATGAAACAATGGAAACAGTGGCCCAAATATGTTGTGTGTGTGTGTGTGTGTGTGTGTGTGTGTGCGCGCGCGCGCGCGCGCATATCTATAGATATGTTCTATTTAAATCAGTTTAAAGAAAGTAAAATGGCAGTTTGAGTGTGTTTACTTCATGGCTAGACTAATATATACTGTTCTTTCATATGGGAAATGGAGGAGGGGTGGGCATGTGCTTCCAGGCAAATACTTTTTTTTTCTTTTAATAGAGATGAGGTTTCACTCACCATGTTGGCCAGGCTGTTCTCCAACTCCTGACCTCAGGTGATCCACTCGCCTTGGCCTCCCAAAGTGCTGGGATTACAGGTGTGAGCCACCACACCCAGCCCAGGCAAAGAATTTTTAAATGCCACAGTCAGTCCCCTCAGTCTGTTTTTGTTTTGTTTTTTTTTGTTTTTGTTTTTGAGACAGAGTTTTGCTCTTGTTGCCCAGGCTGGAGTGCAATGGCGTGATCTTGGCTTACCACAACCTCCACCTCCCATGTTCAAGCAATCCTCCTGCCTCAGTCTCCTAAGTAGCTAGGCTTACAGGCATGCACCACCAAGTCTGGCTAATTTTGTATTTTTAGTAGAGACAGGGTTTCTCCACTTTGGTCAGGCTGGTCTCGAACTCCTGAACTCAGGTGATCCACCCGCCTGGACCTTCCAAAGTGCTGGGATTACAGGCGTGAGCCACCGCATCTGGCCAGTCTGGTTTTTTATTTAGCTGCCTGCCTACACCCCCTTCCTAGCCTCCTTTTTTCACCCCCTTGAGACTGTGTAACAATTACAGAGGCACTCACTGTAAGCTCTACACTGACCCAGAAAGGTCACCAGGTAAAATGAGGACCCCCAAACTGCAGCAAATACAAGGACTGAGCCTTTCAGCATCCCAGCTTCCAAGGGCCTTGGACTGAGAGGACATGATTAAGAAGTAATACCCTGGCTGGGCACGGTGGCTCACGCCTATAAGGCTGGTGACTCACTTGAGGTCAGGAATTTGAGACCTGCCTGGCTAACATGGTGAAACCCCGTCTCTACTAAAAGAAAAAAAATAGCTGCGCATGGTGGCGTGTGCCTGTAATCCCAGCTACTCGGGAGGTTGAGGCAGGAGAATCACTTGAACCTGGGAAGCAGAGGTTTTAGTCAGCCAAAATCACGCCATTGCACTCCAGCCTGGGTGACAGAGCCAGAGTCTGTCTCAAAAAAAATACTACTGCTACTAATAATACCCTCTTGCAAACTGAAAGCTGACTGACCTGCTTCTAAATTTCTAATCCCATCCTGAAAATGCAGCAAAAAGTTCATTAGAAAAAGTGAAAGAGGTGAGTATAACATGAAAACAGAGCCCAGGAGTCAGAAATCATTACTAGAAATCAGTCGCTGGGGATTTTCTGATTCAATTTCCCATGTGAGTCCTTACGGTGCTCTTTCACTTCTGCCCATTCTGTCTTCCCCAAGTAATTCTTCCTCCTGAAAGTCATTTTAGAGCCACTTGCTTACATTTGGAGCTGTTACATTGTCACTGAAACAAATGAGCATAATGGTTCCAAAACCATTATAGGCCATAAGAGTTCCTGGAAAGGTGAGAATAAATTTCATTAAAAGAACAGACTGCCTATAATCCCAGCACTTTGGAATGCCCAGGCGGGTGGATCCCTGAGGGTGCTGAATGCCTGTAATCCCAGCTACTCTGGAGGCTGAGGAAGAAGAATCGCTTGAACTCCCAGGAGGTAGAGGTTGCAGTGAGCCAAGATGGTGCCACTGCACTCCAGCCTGATGACAGAGTGAGACTTTGTCTTAAAAAAAAAGAACAGACTGTCTAAGTTGTATGTGGCTATTTCTATGAACTTCATATTTGCTTCTTGGTTAAAGTTTCCATTTTTGAAGCTGTGCTTTAGAAAGGAAGAAAGACAGCATCTGCCTACAGATGGAGTCAAGAAAATAATGCAGAAAACTAATGCTGAGTTGAAATTAATAGTAATGATATTAAGCAATGTGGATTTATAGTCATTCACAATGACACATATGTTTCTGATTTAAGTTCATTAAGACCATTTTGTTTCTCTTCTGCTACCACATGCGACCTCTTAAAAAGAAAAAGAAAATAGGTAGACTCTTTTGGAGGGATTCCAGATTTCGGTATTTGAATGTCAACACATAAGAAAAGTGCTGAATGCATGCTTTCACATGGCAATTGCATTTGTCAGCTGTTGTACTTACTACAGTTATTCAGACTGCTGTTCGGGTCACAGAGAGAGATACCACCACATGAATCAAGGCAGGGATTGTAGAGGCATCTTTGGTCTCCTTCTTGACATGAAGTCTGACCTACAGAAGGAGGAAAAGGCGCATTGGCTTTTATCATCTGTAAATTCCTTACCCAAGGATCCAGAGGATCAGGAATGTCTGGTGGAGCTGAGGAATAATGCAACTTTAATTTTTTCCAATTTCTCTCCAATTTCTCCAGCAGTATTGAATATATATTGAATAGGTGCTTTCTGGATTCGTTTTCCTGGCAACTAAATACAATCCAGGTATTCCAAAATAGGAATGAAGAAATAAGAGACAAACGACACTAAAAACAGGTGGTTGTGCATTTAATGGGAAAAAATAGTTCTTTCTTTTTACATAGGTGCCAATACTTGATTACAAAATAAAATTCAAGAGATTTGAGAGAGAACATTATAAAATCTTGAAATTCTGAATATTACTTGACTTTTTTTAAAGACTCATTTGCTCCCAATTCTAGTCTCCCTCAAAAAATAATTTCTCTAGTAATAAATAGGGCATCAACACCAATACGATAAGGACACTTTATCATAATACAAGTGTAACATAATGCAGTTTTTATCCATATTTTCAATATGTCTTGGAGAGTGTCATCAGCCTAGCTGTGATGACTTGAGAACTGGGTTTCTGGTTTCTAAGTGACTGACAGCAGCAATATCAGCGTTTGCCCTAATGGTTTTTCCTTAAGGTATGTAGAGAGGAAACTGCTTTTCCCATTGATTTCCTGGTCGTTTGTAGATTAAATGGATAGGGTAATAAATACTGCCTGTTCTAGCACTCCCCATTATGATCAATTACCTTCAGGCATGTCATCTGGAATCTAGACAACCTTGCAAGGCACTTTTAAGTATGAATAATAGTACGTGTGTATATATAATCACTCTTATCTATAATTCTAAGACAATGTTTATTATACTGGAATATTTATCCTTTCTAGTACCACTGACATGGAAATTAATATATCACAGCCTTGCAGAAAAGAGCTGTCTCTCTTTTTTTGTTTTTTAATGTCAGCAGGGTCAAAATTTTTTCTCAAAGAAAACCTAAACAATTTTGGTGAGTTTAGGCTCTTGAGGAGATTTTATTGACATCATGCATTCATTATTTTGGCAAATATTAAGTGTCTCCCATGTGACAATCTATGTGACAAGCTAGGCACTGAACATTAAAAGATAAAAGGGCATGATACCCCCTGGGAAGTGGTTTGTGCTCTGATAGAGGTATCAACCTGAACAAAACCTTCTGATGCTGTGTGATCACTGCTTTATGGATAAAAATATTTATTTTTATTTATTTTTTTCATCGAGATGGGGGTCTCACTATATTGTCCAGGTTGGTCTCAAACTCCCGGTCTCAAGTAATTCTCCTGCCTTGGCCACCCAAAGTGCTGAGATTACAGGCATGTGCTACTGTGCCCAGCTAAAATACAGTTAAAGAGCAATAGAAGCCAACGAGACCAGCATGGGGAAGTTTCTCAAAGGACTTTTCAACATCATGGTAAGAGGAAAGGGTGGGTTTTCCAAGCCGAGAAGCAGCACATGCAAAGGCCTGGAATAGGGAGGTGCACAGGTCAAGTCACTGGAGCTTCAACCACTCAGAAAGAGGGTCAGAGAGACTAGACAGGTAGGCAGGGGCAGAGTCTGAAGAGTTTCAAAGGCCTAACTCTTCAGCAAGACCCTAAGTCTCAGAAGAAGCAGGTCCCACTTTCCTTCCCAGCCCTGTCTAGCAGAATAAGCCTGCAACCCATCCTGACAATTACACAGTGTTGAGTACCAGGCTCCCCTTTGTTCTCAGCTCTGTAATCACAATGGCCTGCCTTCTCTCATGGTCCTCCCATACACCCTTGCACCTTCCCACCTCAGAATTTTGGTCAAGCGGTGCCTTGTGTCTCAATTGCCTCTTCAAGTCCTACTCTTCTCAGTTATCCCCACTCATCCATCAGGCCTAAGCTCCAGGATCTCTTCCTCAGGGAAGCTTTGTTCCGAGGCCCTTTACCAGGGCATACACACTATTAATGGCATCCAAGCACCCTGAATTTTCCTTCTTAGTCTCTCTTGCTGTCTGATTAGACACTGATTTGCATAATAATTCGTAGCACGCCTATGTCCCCCAAGAGTCTGTAAGCTCCATCAGCTGTTTTGCTTGCTACTGAATTCCCAGGGGATGGCCACATATAAACACCACAATATGCATTTTTTAAGTTGAATTCGTAAGAGTGAACAATATAAAGATACTACAATTTTACTTTTAAATCTGTTTTATCATACTACTTTCTTACATCTCACACATGTAAGGAAATATTCTACAAAACCTGCCATTTCATCATAAAAAATGCAAAATTATTTCAGAGTTGAATTATCTAGAAAGAAGAGTTTAATAAAGGATTTCCTTCTGAATTTAAAAACTAGTAAAACAAAGCACTCTTTATATATTATTTTTATGTAATAAGTCTATGATTGAAAAGCTCTCCCTTTAGGTCTTGGGCACTTTTCCATTAAAGTTATTCTAATGATCAATATGTATTACAACTAAACGAATGTATCTATAGGTGACAGTCTCATTGGCTGATTATGAATATACACAGCCCAAGCTATACTTTAATGTAATAGTCATGTAATAAAAGCTCACATATATTGAGTTTTCACTATGTGCCAACACTATGAGGTAGTTATCACTATTCTTAGTGGACAGAAACACAAGCTGCGACCTAAAAGGGGTGTAAGTATCTTGCCAAAAGTCACCATATAGTATGTAGCAGATCGAGGCTTGATCCCAGGTATCAGGGCTGCAACAACCAGGTTCTTAACAACTAGGCTGTGCCTGTGCAGTAAAAACTAATGGGATTTTTTTAGTCCACAGATATCCTCACCCAGCCCCTACTGTGAGGCTTCCACAAACACTGGAGCTTAAAACAATCTGCGTAGAACTTTCTTTTCTGACAGAAATGGTTACAATTAAAAAACAATTTATTGGCTCTTTTTGAGAGTCACACACAGATATTAAATCCTTTTAAAGTGTATTGCTTGGTAATAAGAGGCACTAAACTGCTTCTCTGCACATGATTATTTTAAGAAGTCATTACATTTCCTTTCAGAAACCAATTTCTTCTCACTGGAATCTAATCTAATTTAATTGGATGCTATACACTAAACTTCTCTCTTTATCTCGACTTTCCCCATCAAACAGTTAAGTGAATCTGACTGTGCTGTTCAGGTGTCTCACCCGCCCCCTTCACCCTGAGGAATGATTTTCAGTGTAAGTTGCTTGAGAATTATGTTTAGCACAAGAAAGTGTTTCCTGGCTGATGAGGGCTGTGAGGCTCTCTGCGTTGGCAATCTGGGATTATCTATATGGGAATCCTACTTAAGCAGCTTCAAATGTTTTACTTTGTTCCCAAGGAGAGGACCAGCAGTAAAGGCATGTTCTGGGGTGGGGGGACACACTTACTGCCACTGCAGTTCTCCTCATCACTCCCATCCTTGCAGTCCTCGTCGCCATCACATTGAAACGTGCTGGGGATGCACTGTCCATTTCTGCATTCCACCAGACCCTGGCTATGACAGGCTAGGAAGGGTCAGAATGATATTCACTTTATTTATTAATTCTTCTGTCAGTCTGCACATCAAATAAACAATAGCCATTTATCAGGCATCACTAAGAAACAGGGTGTTCTGCATACACAAATGAACATATCATTGATTTCATTTCTAGAATTTTTCCCACCTCATTAAACAACACTTACCAAAAATTAACTTTTTCTTGAGAACTGCATGATTGTTTTTAGTGATGGAAGTATCATGCTCCTACTTACTAATAAAAATGGCAATCTGTAAAGGGTTCTTTTTTGGCAAGAGCTGTGCTAACTGCATTGTATATAATATAATCTCAAATTCTCACATAAACCTTGTAAAGTAGATACTATCATCCTTGTTTTAGAGCTGAAAAACTAAAGTTTAGAGAGTATACTGCTTGTCTCAAAGTCCCATGGCTAAGAGCTCAGCCAGAATGTGAAGGCAAGCTTTTTGGACTCCAAGCCCAAATATTTCATGATTTATCTACTTGACCTCAAAAGCCAACAAAATGATGTATGGGAAAGAACTCGCAGAGTAACTAACACATAATAAACACTTTAACACTTGTTTATGACAACTGATATTTGAAAGGAATGACCTAATGTCCATTAACCTTCCAATTTCTATCAGTTCTCTAAATTCTATACCTATTGTCTTTTTTGGGGGGGTGGGGGAAGCAGAGTCTTAATCTGTTTCCCAGGCTGGAGTGTAGTGGCACAATCTCTGCTCACTGCAGCCTCAGCCTCCCAGGTTCAAGCGATTCTCCTGCTTCCGCCTCCCAAGTAGCTGGAACTGTAGGCACCATACCCAACTAATTTTTGTATTTTTAGTAGAGACAGGGTTTCACCATGTTGCCCAGGCTGGTCTCAAACTCCTGACCTTGTGATCCACCCATCTCAGCCTCCCAAAGTGCTCAGATTACAGGTGTGAGCCACCACACCTGGCCTATCATGCACTCTCTGTGTCACTGTCTGGACATTAAAGGCTCTCTTCTTGCTGATGATTCTTTCCATGTTCTTCCACAAATGGCCCCTGAGAACATGTTAGGGCACTCCTACAGGGAACTGAACTACTCATATATTGTGTGCAGAAGGAAGGTTTCTCAGTCTGTGGGAAGAGCATCACCTTTGACAAAGTCATAGAAGCATAAAAGAGACATATGGAGCAATGAGAGAGAAAACAGACGCCCACTTGGCCAGATCAGCCAAATGATGCTTGGAGTTTTGGGAGGAAAGGTGTGGAAGTCACATGCAGTCCATTGCTATTGTCATCCCACCACTCAAAGATCTTTACAGGCTAGAACCAAAGTATCAGAATCTTTCCCTTGGAATGCTGCGTATATAGTGAGTCTTAAGTATAGAAGTTAACATTGAGCACAGCCCAAACAATCAGAAATGGAAAAATAAGCAAAACAAACATCCTCAGAGCACTCACAGCAGTTGACCTCGTCAGACTTATCCACACAGTCGTGGTCACCATCACACACCCACTCCATGGTGATGCAGCGCCCATCCCCACAGCGATGCTCTGTTGTGGGACTGCAATCTGGAGAAATGAAAACCATGAGGATGCAAAGAACCAGTGTGACAAACAGGCAGGATTGTATGGCTCCCGGTTCCTGTTGAAGAGAGTCTGTTCCAATGGTTCCAATACCTTTAATAACATTTCTACAATAGGTCTGGCCCAATTAAAATGCCATGCCCTCTCCACACATGTGCCCCACTGACCACCATCACGGTGAGGTAAGATGCGTCTGTTTTTCAGATAAGTAACACTACCCTAGTTGTCTCAGGACCCATGGTTTGTTCTTTGTTTTGAGATGGAGTCTCCCCCTGTTGCCAGGCTGGAGTGCAGCGGCACAATCTCAGCTCACTGCAACCTCCACCTCCTGGTTCAAGCAGTTCTCCTGCCTCAGCTTCCCAAGTAGCTGGGACTACAGGTGTGTGCCACCATGCCCAGCTAATTTTATTTTATTTTTTTCAGTAGAGACAGGGTTTCATCATGTTGACCAGGATGGTAGAATGGTCTTGAACTCCTGACCTCAGGTGATTGCCTATGTCGGCCTCCCAAAGTGCTGAAATTACAGGAGTGAGCCACCACACCTGGCCAATTTGTTCTTATTGTTGTTGGCTTTTGTTTTCTTTAGTCGTCATTTTATTTCCTTATGAAAAATTTATGGTTTCTACCCTGGTAAGAAAAACAGAACTGTGATTTGTGTTTCACGAAGCTAGCGGATTTGATGTTATCTGTAACAGTTCTCTCACATTTCTGGGAATTATAACTTACCTGTCTGGCAAACTGGGAAAGCAAGTGTCTCCTTGTCATCTCTCCTGATGCTAAGCTCAAGCTTTTAATTAAATTATCTTTTTTTTTTTTTTTTTTTTTTTTTTTTTTTTGAGACAGGGTCTCTCTCTGTTTCCCAGGCTGGAGTGCAGTGTTGTGATCATAGCTCACACAGCTCACTGCAGCCTTAACCTTCTAGGATCAGGTGATCCTCCCACCTCAGCCTCTCAAGTAGTTGAGACTACAAGGACATGCCAGCATGCCCGGCCTTCTATCCAAAAGAGCCACTGGGTAAGCAATGGGAAATATGTATGTTATTTTCATGATTCTTTTTAGCCTGGACTTCATGTCCCAATTTATATATCACTGAAAAAGAACTGAGCGGTAAGTTCCCTCTCACAAAGGGCAGAATCCACAGGGTGCTTTGCCATGAGAAGTGGTAAACCCTGAATATAAGCAGCGTTTTGGAAGATGTATGTGATTTCATGAATAACAGATTCGATGAGAAGGTGTAATGAGTCTAGTAATAGTGCCATGGTCGTAGACAGACTTCTGGAGTGACCGCAGATCTGAAAGGGTGTTTTGGGTCAATAAAGCAAAGTATGAGAAGGACATGGGTTAGAGAAAAGAAGAAAAGCAAAAGAGGTGTTTAGCAGGAACCAGAGGAGCACAGGGGGCCAGGGCAGAGGCTGGTCTGAAGGAAATTGGTAATTATTGCTGTTAGATGGAGACAACTGGCATCCAGACACACAAACTTCACAACTGCCTGCTGTCTTCAGAGGAATTATGTCACCCGTTAAGACCATTCTTCCTCACATGCTACCTACACTCTGGCCCTCTCTACTAACCTATCCAACTACCAACCTACACTCACTCCTTTTCAATTCCCTGCATTTTCCTAGTTATCTCATTGGTAAAGAGAAGGGTTGAATCTGATGAACTCTATGGCCTCCTGCAACTATCATTTCTGTGATGTATATAATTACAATTTCCCCTCGTCCTTTGTCTCAAGACTAGTCAGTCCCAGGAGATAACCCACATCTGAATGTAGATTAGTACAGCCATTATGGAAAATAGTATGGAGGTTCTTGAGAAAACTACAAACAGAACTTCCATATGACCCAGCAATCCCACTTCTGGATATGTATCCAAGGGAAAGAAAATCAGTATAATCAAACAGACACCGGCACCCCCAAGTTCACTGCAGCACTGCTCACAATAACGATGATATGGAATCAATTTGTGCCAATCAAAAAACGAGTGGAAAAAGAAAATATGGTACGTCTACACAATGGAATACTATTCAGCCATGCCAAAAGAATGAAATACAGTTATTCGTAGCAACATGGATGAGCCTGGAGGACATTATGTAAAGTGAAATAAGCCAGGCATAGAAACACAAATACCACAGGCCCTTACTCATATGCAGAGTTGATCTCATAGAAGCAGAGAGTAGAACAGTAGTTACTGGAGGCCAGAAGGGTATGGAGGAGGAGGGATAAAGAGAGATTGCTTAACTGATACAAAATTACAGCTAGATAGGAGGAACAAACTGTAGGCTTTTATAGCACTGGATGGTGACTATAGTTAATGACAATTTATTGTATATTTTCAAATAACTAAATGAGAAGATTTTGAATGTTCCTAATACAAAGAAATGATAAATGTTTGAGGCGATGGATATGCTAATTACCCGGATTTGATCATTATATATATTATACACGTATTAGAATATCATGTTGTATTCAGTAAATGTGTACAACTACTATGAGTCAGTCAAAAATAAAATAAAAATAAACTGTTACCAGAAAAAAACAATAACCACATCTATGTAGTCACCCAGGAATGGTCTGTACATACACATTTAAAAATATTTTTACAGATACAGCAAGTGGCAGCTAGACGGTGCTCCTAGAAGCCACCAGGTTTCCCAGCATGGAGTTATTCCCAACATTCATGATTCCAACGCATTCCTCTGATGATACCCCTGATCTTTTCGAAACATTTATTTTGATATTATCTAATGCTGGACATTGTCTCAAATCATTTGTCCAGGGCATATCCTCATCCCAGTTTGCCCTTTTGTTCATGTTGCAAAGTTCCTACATCACTCAAAAATATACTGCCTAAAAATTCTGAAGCTAGTCACAAAGCCAAAAAAGTAAATGAGCAACAGGAATTTTGCTGATTTTAATTCATGAGATGGCATTCAGAATTGAACATGACTCTTTAAAAATTAGGTTTATTCATTAAAAGATAAGCTCAGCATTTGTACACAAAACAAAGGTGTCATCCTAACCCTGGGTGTAGCTGCTACAAAGGTGTTCCTTGTACTATTTGGGGATTAAATAAAAGGGGGGACTTTGGTCACATGTAATAAGGGAACCAGGTACAGACAATATATCTGCCCTCAAAGTTTGCTTAAGGGCCCAAAATCTAACATAAGCCACTGGCTCTAACCAGAGGAGAACAGTACACATTAGAGGAGAGGAAAAAAACTATTAAAGCATTAACAACCTTTACCAGTCTTCCCATCCTATTTCTTAAACATTTTCTTAATACAGTTATTTATCTATTATATTTACACATAAGACATTACTGAGGACAGTGAATGAGCAAACTTCCTCCTTCTAAAAAACCAGAAACCAATCATTTTGTAATCTAAACTGCTAATTGTATTAACATATAGTGAACTACAAATTCTTGGTTATAAATTTCTGTGATTTTTAATTAAAACCTTTGGGGAAACAATACTACTTACCACAGTTTTGCTCATCACTCAAATCCCCACAGTCATCATATCCATCACATACAAGGCTGTAATTAAGGCACTTGCCTGTGTGACAGTGAAACAGATTCTCACTGCAGTCTGTAAATAAAAGAAGCCACCAATGTGTCATCAGAGCTGTACAGAATGCTATTGTAGTACAATATTTAACAAAAGCCAATCATGGAAGAGATACCTAATGGTAACCTGGTCCACACCTATTGTTTTATAGGTGAGGAGAAGGTGGCACAAAGAGATACTATGACTTGTTCAAGGCCACTTAACAAGTGCTGCAGAACCAGGAATAGGACCCTCTGGCTCCCAAGCCAAGTGATTTTATCACTTTCTGATGTGTTTCTCTGACTTCCATTTTATGTCACCTGAAAGATCCTTGATTGTCAAAGATGAGAAAAGACATTCTCAATTCACCATCATTCCTAATGAAGTTCCTGTTCATGCAGAATAGACTTCAGTGACTCTTACGTTTTATTTAGAGTTGAAAGTCCAGGTTTGCCAGTGGTAAATATAAACATAACAAATAAAATAAGTCATTTAGATTATAGAGTTGTTATTTCCTTTCACATAAACATTACTGCTAAAGCCAATTGAATGTTTCATAATGTGATCCTCAAATAAGCAAGTACTCTCCAAAGACTACAATGGAAAAATGAGAAGTGGTATGTAATCTCAGGACGCTCATAGTTTAATGTTGAAATACGCAATATTCAGAGGAAATGCTTTTCTGATTTTATAAGAAAATAAAGTCTTGTCCTTGGGTAAACCAGAACTCCTATCCAGGTTCTTCCATCTACTAGCTGTGGGACTTTTAGTGTGTTATTGGTAATTCAAGTGTAGGAGTCTATGAACTGAACTATGAAATTGGAACAAAATCAACCACTTACTAGGGTTTGAAAGAAGAGTTTAATAAAATAGTGTGTGTAAGACAATTCAATGGAAATAGAATGCTCTTTTCAACAAATGGTATTGGGACAATGAAGGAGATAAGTCAGGGTTGTGGAAAAATTAGAAAGAGGCAAATCTTCTTGGAAGGCTGGAAGGTTTTGCAAAAGCCTTGGGAGGAAGTTAGGGCCTAATCTTCTTACCATGAGCTAACAGCAGAGAACAGATAAAAAGGGAAGGTAGGAGTGTTTATCTAAATAGCTTGTTTACTCATGTGGTCCTAAGAATAATCCTTGATCTTTGATAGGTGCATAACTGCTCACCACTCAGGGGGTCAGCAATGTGGTTTTTTTTTTTTTTTAATTGTTTTGTTTTTACAAAAAATACCTAATTTTTATTTTTAATATATATTTTGTTGCACTTTAGGTTCTGGGGTACATGTGCAAAACATGCAGGATTATTGCATAGGTACACACATGGCAATGTGGTTTGCTGCCTCAATCCTCCCATCACCTATATCTGGCATTTCTCCCCGTTATCCCTCCCCGACCTCCTTACCCCATGCTGTCCCTCCCTTATTCCCCAACAACAGACCCCAGTTTGTGGTGGTCCCCTCCCTGTGTCCATGTGTTCTCATTGTTCAACACCCATCTATGAGTGACAACATGTTATGTTTGTTTTTCTGTTCTTGAGTGAGTTTGCTGAGAATGATGGTTTCCAGATTCATCCATGTACCTACAAAGGACACAAACTCATGATTTTTTATGGCTGCATAGTATTCTATGGTGTATATGTTCCACATTTTCCTTGTCCAGACTATCATCAGTGGGTATTTGGGTTGGTTCTGGGTCTTTGCTATTGTAAACATTGCCACAATGAACATACATATGCATGTGTCTTTATAATAGAAAGATTTATAATCCTCTGGGTATATACCCAGTAATGGGATTACTGGGTCAAATGGAATTTCTATTTCTAGGTCCTTGAGGAATCACCACACTGTCTTCCACAATGGTTGAACTAGTTTACACCCCCACCAACCATGTAAAAGTGTTCCTATTTTTCCACATCCTCTCCAGCATCTGTTGTCTCCAGAATTTTTAATGATTGCTATTCTAACTGGCATGAGATGGTATCTCAATGTGGTTTTGATTTGCATTTCTCTAATGACCAGTGATGATGAGAATTTTTTCACATGTTTGTTGTCCTCATTTATGTCTTCTTTTGAAAAGTGGCTGTTCGTATCCTTATATCCTTTGCCCACTTTTGAATGAGTTTATTTGTTTTTTTCTTGTAAATCTGTTTTAGTTCTTTGTAGATTCTGGATATGAGCCCTTTGTCCGATGGCTAGATTGCAAAAATTTTTTCCCATTCTGTTGGTTGCCAGTTCACTCTAATGATTGTGTCTTTTGCTGTACAGAAGCTCTGGAGTTTAATTGGATCGCATTTGTCTATTTTGGCTTTTGTTGCCAATGCTTTTGGTGTTTTAGTCATGAAGTCCTTGCCTATGCCTATGTCCTTAATGGTTTTGCCTAGGTTTTCTTCTAGGGTTTTTATGATATTAAGCCTTATGTTTAAGTCTTTAATCCATCTGGAGTTAATTTTAGTGTAAGGTGTCAGGAAGGGGTCCCATTTCTGCTTTCTGCACATGGCTAGCCAGTTTTCCCAATACCACTTATTAAACAGGGAATTCTTTCTCCATTGCTTGTTTTTGTCACGTTTGACAAAGATCAGATGGTTTTAGATGCATGGCATTGCCTCCAAGGCCTCTGTTCTGTTCCATTGTTCAATATCTCTGTTTTGGTGCCAGTACTATGCCATTTTTATTATAGCCTTATAGCATAGTTTGAAGTCAGGTAGCATGATGCCTCCAGCTTTGTTCTTTTTGCTTACGATTGTCTTGGCTATGGGGGCTCTCTTTTGGTCCCATATGAAGTTTAAGGTGGTGTTTTCCAGTTCTCTGAATAGAGTCCTAGGTAGTTTGATGGGGATAGCATTGTATCTATATATTACTCTGGGCAGTATGGCCATTTTCATGATATCGATTCTTCCCAACCATGAGCATGGAATGTTTTCCATCTGTTTGTGTTCTCTCTTACTTCCTTGAGCAGTGGTTTGTAGTTCTCCTTGAAGAGGTTCTTTACATCCTTTGGTAGTTGTATTCCTAGGTATTTTATTCTCTTTGTAGCAACTCTGGGAGTTTGCTCATGATTTGGCCCTCTGTTAGTCTGTTATTGGTGTATAGGAATGCTTGTGATTTCTGCACATTGATTTTGTATCCTGAGACTTTGCTGAAGTTGCTTATCAGTTTCAGGAGATTTGGGGCTGAGACAATGGGGTCTTCTAAATATACAATCATGTCGTCTACAAACAGAGAAAGTTTGACTTCCTCCTTTCCTAATTGAATACACTTTATTTCTTTTTCTTGCCTGATTGCTCTGGCTAGAACTTCTTCCAATACTATATTGAATAGGAGTGGTGGGAGAGGGCATCCTTGTCTAGTGCTAAATTTCAAAGGGAATGCTTCCAGTTTTTGGCCATTCAGTATGATATTGACTTTGGGTTTTTCATAAATAGCTTTTATTATTTTCAGATACATGCCATCGATATCTAGTATACTGAGAGTTTCTAGAATAAAGGGCTGTTGAATTTTGTTGAAGGCCTTCTCTGCATCTATTGAGATAATCATGTGGTTTTTGTCTTTGATTCTGTTTATGTGGTGGATTACATTTATAGACTTGAGTATGTTGAACCAGCCTTGCGTCCCCAGGATGAATCCTACTTGATCATGATGGATAAGCTTTGTGATGTGCTGTTGCAATTGGTTTGCCAGTATTTTATTGAAGATTTTTGCATCTATATTCATCATGGATATTGGCCTGAAGTCTTCTTTTTTTATTGAGTCTCTGTCGGGTTTTGGATGGTATTGGTCTCATAAAATGATTCGATAAGGATACTCTCTTTTTGTTTTGTTTGGAATAGCTTCAGAAGGAGTGTTACCAACTCCTCTTTGATATCTCATAGAATTTGGCTGTGAACCCATCTGGACCTGGGCTTTTTTTGGTTGGTAGGCTATTAATTGCTGCCTTGACTTCAGCCCTTGTTATTGGTCTATTCAGGATTTCAACTTCTTCCTCGTTTAGGCATGGGAGGGTGCATGTGTCCAGGAATTTATCCATTTCTTTCAGGTTTACTGGTTTATGTGCATAGAGTTGTTTGTAGTAATCTCTGATGGTAGTTTGTATTTCTGTAGGATCGGTGGTTATAACCCCTTCATCATTTTTATTGCATCTATTTGATTCTTCTCTCTTTTCTTTTTTATTAATCTGGCTAGTGGTCTGTCTATTTTGTTGATCTTTTCAAAAAACCAGCTGCTGGATTTACTGATTTTTTGAAAGTATTTTTGTCTCTCTATCTCCTTCAGTTCTGCTCTGATCTTAGTTATTTCTTGTCTTCTGCTAGCTTTTGAGGTTTTTTTATCTTGCTCCTCTAGCCTTTTCGATTTTAATGATAGGGTGTCGATTTTAGATCTTTCCTTGCTTCTCATGTGGGCATTTATTGCTATAAATTTCCCTCTAGACACTGCTTTAAATGTGTCCCAGAGGTTCTGGTACATTGTGTTTTCATTCTTGTTGGTTTCAAAGAACATCTTTATTTCTGCCTTCATTTCATTGTTTATCCAGTCAACATTCATGAGCCAGTTGTTCAGTTTCCATGAAGTTGTATGGTTCTGAGTTAGTTTATTGATCCTGAGTTCTAATTTGATTGCACTGTGGTCTGAGAGACTGTTTGTTATGATTTCTGTTCTTTTGCATTTGCTGAGGAGTGATTTACTTCCAATTATTGGTCAATTTTAGAGTAGGTGTGATGTGGTGCTGAGAAGAATGTATTGGATTCTTCTTCAATGCTGTGGATTTGGGGTGGAGAATTCTGTACATGTCTATTAGGTTTGCGTGGTCTGGATATGAGTTCAAGTCCTGGATATCCTTGTTAATTTTCTGTCTCATTCATTGTCTAATATTGACAATGGGGTGTTAAAGCCTCCCACTATTATTGTCTATTATTGTATGGGAGTCTACGTCTCTTTGTAGGTCATTAAGAACTTGCTTTATGTATCTGGGTGTTCCCATATTGGGTGCATATATACTTAGGATCATCAGCTCTTCTTGTTACATTGACCCTTTTACCATTATGTAATGCCC